AGTCGATCGTATAGGTAATACACAAGGCTGATGACAGAGTCAGTGGGGGCCCAGGTGAGTCCTACTAAAGGCATTATAGGAACCCAACAAGAAGTTACGGACGGCAGTAGGAGGGCCGTGTGCGAGCGCATACGAAAGCCCAGCATAACGCTGATGGAAGACATGGTCAATGACCAAACACGGAAGGGCCTGGATGTATTGCCGCCTGTTGCCGCAATGAGTATATATAGCGGGCCGATGGGGATCTGGGAAGGAACCTCACCGGTCAAGCTCCATATACACTGTAGACGTACTGCTAGGTCATCAAAGTGTCCGGACACCGGGGGGTTTCCGCTAAATATGGCCAAAACATCAACCTTTTCACGAGGGCATATCTTGAAAACTCAACTCCTAAAAAATATCCACTCATTTTCTAATAAATGAAGATAGACAAGAGGTTTTTTTGGTATGTTACAATAGTGACTATCTCTCAGTGTCATAAACCGTCATGCGCACAGACTCGACAGAGTCTTGAAAAGTGGTTTTTCGCACCGAAATAAGCGCATAAAATTAGTGTCCAAACACTTTGGTGACCCAGCTGTACCTAGAAGAAGAGCTTACTATATTCCACTTAGAAGTGGTTGATCCACCTGCACTTTCTTCGTGACCAGCCCTTATAGAATAACACCAGTCTTGCTCATACCAGCCGCCGTCACAGTAGGTAGCCACTTCATAAATCCCTAATTTAGCATCTAGCAAAATAGTCACACAAAATGGAGAAACTATACTAGTTAACACTATATAAAGAGCTTCAGGCAATCTTCTCACATATTTGGTTTTTAAAAAGATGTGGTTTTGGTGAAGTTATTGCAAACTATGTGGTGGTATTAAAGCTGCTCGGTTGAAATCATTGAACTACTATGGTATCCGGCGAAAGTAATGTTAGCGTGGTGGAGCGAAACCGGTGCTGCTTTCTTTCTGGTAGTGGCGGAATACGAGTACTTTTAAAACGCTGGGCTTGCCGTCTCCCTAGGACGCAGCTAAACCAGCGATTGTCTCAGTCCACCGAGCTAACATTACTTTTGCTGGATGCCAGTATGCGGTGCTTACAGCTAAACTTCTCAATGGTGCGCCCCAGCTCCCAGCGCTCAGACCATCTGAGAACATTGTCTCTTGAGGCTCGGTGTGCTGCCTCAAGATCAAATAAAATAAAAGCCAAGTTTTCGGAGGCAAGAGGTCCTTGCGTGCGTTGTGTTTTCTATCAAGATTTATTTTTTGGCAAAATTTTTTATTATCTACATAGATACTGCGGATAGCCACTGTCTGCATAGCTGCATCAAGTAGCTGGGTCGAACGTTAGATCGAAAGAAAGGAAAGGAAAGGAAGAAGCACCTAAGCAGGTAGAAGAATATCTAGGCGGGCGGAAAGGCCAGGAGGATAAAATATCCAGGCAGGTGGAATATCCAAGTGGATAGGATGCCCTGACGGGTAAAACATCCAGGTAGATAGAATGTCCTAACGGGTAAAATATCTAGGTAGATAGAGTGTCTAGGAGGATGAAATGTCCAGGCGTGTAAGGGCCACATGTTGAAATGGCGCCCGGGGGATAAAATATCCAACACTGGCTCCTGGATCTCATTTTGGCTGCTGAGTCCTGGGTCATCCTCACGTGAAGTCCACCCCGATCCATGACAGTTAAAAGCCTCTGTTCTAATAAGTTAGCCGCCCGGAATTAGATCCCTGGTGCTACTAGGTACTGGTACCACCAAGCTTCTCCGCCGATACCGCAGGGGTCATTGTCGTCGGTACCATCAGGCTGTTCTGCCGTAAGGGCCATTGGTGCTGGTACCATCAAGCTGTTCCGCCACATGAGTCACTAGTAATGGTGCTCCTAGGCACTGGCGCTTCTCTGCCGAGACTACAAGGGTCATTTGTACTCAACCCTGGCATGAGTGGTCGAATGTGAGCATAAGTCGACTAATAGAAATATCAGGCGGCTAAGAAGCCAAAATCGGAAGAGCTAGCTAGGGAGAAGGTGAACCGGCTGAAGATAAGAATGCAGGCAGTTGAGATGCACAATCAACGACTGGGCCAAAAAGTATAGAGGTTGGTGCCGGTAGCCGATCACTTTAGAGGTATTATAACTAGGTCTTTCAGTGAGATAAACGGGGTCCTGGAAAAACTAGAATTCAAGTTACATTCTTCACCTAGTGGGCAGGACATGGGTTGGATAATTCCACAAAACACTTTTCGTTCTGGTTTAAGAAACAAATGGAAGGCGATAAGGACTGATAACCAAAATATTGTATAGTAGAGCAAAGCATGAAGGATATTTAGAGTAAAATCTCATCGAGATGTCACAACTGAAGCGATATATACTTCACATAACGGTTTGATACCTAATTTTGATCTTTGAAAGTTTTCTGAATATATTTGAGTATCTCCTTTATGATGTCCTTCTCTCGATATGCACCAGGTTGATAGCCTCTAGTTGCAGCTTTTTCCAGTAACTCTTTTGCTGTGGGTGCCTTTCCACCCATGATAGTATTGATGTGGGGGAGGTTTGGGAGAGATAAGTCGAAGGACGGTTGGTCAGTCGGGTGGGAAGGGGACCGGATGTTTTTTCTGCCTGAGACTTGGTGGGCTGTATTAGGAGCACTGACGTGGGGTGGAATGTGAAGGATGAAAGTGGTGGTGGGATGTGCTCGTGCGAGCTCCGGGTGGGTATCACCCAGCCCACCATTTAAAGCGGCGCCAATTGGGTGAGGTCGCAAGCAAGAAGCGGTTTACTGTCGTACTGTCCCGCCAAGTCTCGGCTGCATTAACTCGATTAACTAACGGCCATCATGTCTGATAGAGAGTTTGGTGGTGAGTCCTCTGTAGCTCTTATATGAACAGCTCGTACTCCCCAGCGACTCTAGAGACAGCTAGTTGGGGATCTGCGCTATCGAATCGTGCCGAGACATCTGTTGTCGCGGCGACTATTAGACATACTGACAATCGCACTAGGTAATGACGATTTGTCACTTCCCAAAGGTCAGTCTCTTTCAGCCCTCTCTACGTCTCTACCTACCTTCCGTCGGCACGTCGCAAGAGACCAAGCTATCTTTGTCCTATACGCTCCTTCACTCTAGTCCTGTCGCAGCTCTTTTGTTATGGAAACCCCACCATATACCATATACCATATTCGCCTGGGCTTTGAGTCTATAATTCCGTACCAACGAGACTCCTATTCAAAGGTTCTCTTTGACGGAGAGGCTCCAGGCAGTGGTTTCCTGCTCCCTACAGCTCCTTACGGAGCTCGACCCTAGCATTTCCCCCTCTAGTGACTCGCCCCTCCCACCCCAGTGCTGTCTCTGTAGCCATTAATCCCATATTTCCCCTCGCCAGAAGATGTTCGGATCTCTCCTCTGCTCAGCATCCATCAGAATCTACTTCATTATTTCACTTTTGCAAATGGTCTAATCTATCAGGGCATTGAAGCAACGGTACAAAAGATCATCAGCGAGATCCTTATATCCAGACCAGGATATTCTTTTGCAAAGGATGCCCGGGACCTACTGATCGACTGCTCCGTGGAGTTTATAACGCTTATATCGTCAGAAGCGAATGATATTGCCGAACGTGAGACCAAAAAAACCATCGCCGCTGAACATGTGACGAAGGCATTGGAGGAACTCGGATTTGAAGGATACGTTCCCGAAATCAAGGACGAAGCTGCCGAACATAAGGAGAAGCAAAAGGTGAGTACAATTCTCTGCTAGTTGCTATTATTTCGAGTTTCGATTAGCTTGCTTACTCGGACATCCTATGCAGACTAAGGAAAAACGTCAGACTCGTTGGGAAAAGAGCGGCAAGTCCGAAGAGGAGCTTTTGAGAGAGCAGGAAGAGCTCTTTGGATTGTCTCGCGAGAAATACAACCAAGAGGGGCCTGCTGACGCAGCATAGATGGGTAGAGGTTTGCTTGTTAGGTATTTCGGTGTATCCAATCCGCAGGCGTATTTCCCAAATATTTAATGGGTATCTCGGTTATGGAACGGTACTGGGGATTCTGTACTATAGATACATGACGAGTAGCCCTGAGACTTGTATCAGAGGGTACTCAGAAATTATACGTGCTGAATTCATGTCTTTTGTCCTTAAGTATCGGGTAATTAAAGACGTTAGATATGGGCTTTGCCTGGCTCTCCTCACCTAACCAAATCAAGGGAAGTCGAATCTACCTATCATGCACGGTGTAGCTACGTGTAAATTCAAAGCTTTGAATTTTATCATCCTCGCTCCCTGGCCCACCCTAACTACCTTCGCTTCCTATTCCTTCAAATAAGTTGAGCTCAGCTCGGAATACCAATTCACCAAGACCGACTAAAATGTGATCTGGCTGGAATTAATATGGAGTGTGGAGTTTGTGGTCGAGCAGTTTGTTCTACTACCTACCAGGCCATATAGCATACTTCTACACACATACACTTTAAAGCAACTCGTTTCCCTATAGAGGATAGCTGGATACTATAACTTTCCGTTCACTTACCCGGATACCACAAAAAGCATACCGGAATGCCACGGGTTTAACCTGCCTGTTAAATACATGTTTCTCTGATCTATCCTCTCTCCATTCTCCGGGGGCGTGCTTAATGTTATGGGAGCCTTAAAATTATATAATTTTTTATTTGTTCTTTATTATTGATATAGTTTTTAACATTTTCCGAATATATGCACCATGACTAAATGGCGATCCCTGGGCGCGTGCCTACGATACAGCGGTAGCACTTAGGAGCCTGTCCCAAGCATATGCACTACGATCTTGGTATTCACAACATAATGTTGGTAATGTTTTGCGCGTTTGGTTTGTCGGGTGAACTTTTTGTAGTATCTGGGTGGATAAAATAAGAACCCGTAATTAATTGTCTTATGGCTCAAGGTTGCTGAGCTAAGAGGTTAAAAGGGGGTTTGAAATTTGATGAATCTAATAGTGTGGTAGTAAGCTGCCTTTAGGGAAAGAAAAAAAAAATATTCAAGCACGGTCCTAGACAGGCTCGAACTGTCAACCTCCCGGTACCCGATAACTCAGATAACAGCCGGACGCGCTAGCCAATTGCGCCATAAGACCCTGTTGAGTATAAACGAGATATACTTGCGCTTATATACGCCAAATTGAAACGAGGCTTTTGTTTCTGCGTCATCTTGCCGCCAGGCGATACCCATCTTTAACCGCAGTCAAAGCTAGTTCCCGACATTTGCACTAGAGATAATAACCAACCTAAATTAGAGATCAAATATGTCAGGTCTTGAGAAAGCCCTATTTAACTTGAAGGTCGGTCGGAGTTTGAGCCTACCGTTTAGAGGGTTATCTGCTGACTCGATCGGATTCTACACGCAGTTTACGGCTAAACAGCTTAATCGACAGGCTGCAAAGGCAGGCAAGGACGAGACAGCCGAGAAGAACAAGCTGAAGAAGGTGGGCTTACCCTTGGTTATGGTATTTATTGCTATATAGACTTCTGGATGCTGACTACATTCTTGTGACTTCTGAAAAACCAGGCTATCCAACAGAATCATAACGACATCGCGAGGATATATGCACAGAATGCGATCCGCAAGCAGAACGAACGCTTGAATCTTCTGAGATTAGCGTCAAGGATCGATGCCGTTAGCAGCCGTGTGCAGACTGCTGTGACCATGAGGCAGGTCACTGGGAGCATGGCAAATGTGGTGAGGGGGATGGATCAGGCGATGAAGAGTATGGATCTTGAGAAAGTGAGTTCTCTTCCCCTTTGGTTCGGCTTATATAGCCTTACCCTCTTTTTATCCCGACGGTCTAAGTAGGTCGAGTGGAAGCTGACGATGCGGCTTGAAATAGATATCAGCCGTGATGGACAGGTTCGAAACACAATTTGAAGATCTCGACGTCGCAACCGGGTACTACGAAAATGCAACCTCGTCTGCCACTGCCGTTGGCACGCCGCAGGAGGATGTGGATCGCTTGATGAACCAAGTAGCTGATGAAAATGGATTTGAACTGCACCAGGATTTGGAGGCTGCAACGCCCTCGAAGGCAAAAGTTGGGCCTACAGAGCAAGAGGAAGATGGGTATGTTTATGTTTTATATTCTGAGTAACCTCGGACTTGAGTGCTGATTCGGATATTGTATTAGACTCGGTGAAAGGTTGAGAGCACTCCGGTCATAGACTATCTTTTGTCGATGAGAGTAGCTTAGATGCTCATGGGAAGCCGCGGGTGCCTTGTGGGTGATATATTCCATTATTGGGGAGTTTGGAAGGGGTCTCCTTTCGCTCTGGACTGCTGGTGGGGTTGTCTTGTGTTTTGGATCATCTCTAGATGACCCTGACGTGTGTTTTTTTTTAAAACTGCATTTATCAAGTTACCCTATTTGTTCCACCATATTTTTCGCTGTGTTCGATTCTAATAACCTGGCGGCTCTCGACTATGGTCCTTCGGACGAATCTCTAAGTGATCCACTAAAGAACCCGATATATGCATTTTGGCGGAAGCCCAATCAGACCTAGTGGGCGTACGGGGCGAAGGAGGCGAAGTGTCTTGACGAATCTACATGAACGCAGGAGAAGGCTACATGACCAAATAATCCTATGGCCAAGGATATTAGTCTTTGGTGTGCGATATTATTATTTTGCTCTGTGAGTGTGGTGGTTTAGAGTCGATGGATAGTTGACTACGCACCTTCCCATTTGAAAAAAAATTAGAGATCTTCGAGATATACAGATGTATAGATAGGTATTGGAATCTATTTAAAAGTAGTCTTAAATCTAGACATCTTGTTGTATTTAAAAGGTGGGGGGGTGTGACTTGAAATGCATAGATCAGACGTCATAGCAAAAACTAACCACCTCTCGGAACACCAACCGCAATAAGGAACCACCATCACCAGCATGCCAATTGGACGAATAATACCAAGGAGCCCTTCGAGCACTTCATCTAGTATCTGCTCCTTCTGCGAGCGGCGTCTATGGAGGCAGAATGCCGCCCTCCCGCGGCTACAACATCAACGACGACAAATATCCGCGTACGGCTACACTCAAGCCAAAGCGCTCTTGTATTCGAAATACGGCGAGCCCAAAGACGTGCTTAGGTATCCCGATTACCCCAGATTTTTCCTTTCCATTAAAGCGCACGTCTAACTCTAGTATTTAAAAACAAAACAGTCTCCACACCCACTCCATCTCCCCGGCACACTCCACCCGCCTAACCCTCCGCTTCCTCGCATCCCCCATAAACCCCGCCGACATAAACCAAATCCAAGCTCTCTACCCTGTCCGCCCCTCATTCACCTCCATCCTCGGCACGGCCCAACCCTCCGCCGTAGCAGGCAACGAAGGCGTGGCCGAAGTCATCTCCGTAGGGTCATCCGTTAAGACGCTCCAGAAGGGCGACTGGGTGCTCATGAAACACTCGGGATTCGGCACATGGCGCACCCACGCTGAGGCCGACGAGTCGGACGTCCTACGGATCGAGAAGCATGGCATCACCCCCATACAAGCCGGCACCGTGAGCATCAACCCCTGCACCGCCCACCGAATGCTGAAGGACTTCTACCCCCTCCAACCAGGCTCCTGGTTCGTCCAAAACGGCGCCAACTCGGGCGTCGGCCGCGCCGCTATCCAGTTGGGGAAACTGTGGGGCCTCCGCAGCATCAACGTCGTGCGCGACCGCCCCGCCCTCGCGGAACTGAAAAAGGAGCTCCAGGACCTCGGCGCGGACCATGTCGTCACCGAGGATGAGGTCCTGGAAAGCCGCTTCCCCGATCGCGTCAAGGAGTGGACGCGCGGGGGGCGCGAATCGATCATGTTGGCGCTCAATTGCGTGGGTGGGAAACCGACCACGGCGCTCACGAAAGTCCTCTCGCCCGGTGGACACGTGGTGACGTATGGCGCGATGTCGAAGAAGCCGCTGCAGTTGCCGGCCAGCGCGCTGATCTTTCGGGATTTGCATTTTCACGGGTTTTGGGTTAGCCAGTGGGCGGAGAAGCATTCGGAGGAGAGGGTGAGGACTGTTGGGGAGATTTTGGAGATGATGAGGTCGGGGGTGATTGCGGACGTTCCGGTTATGGAGTTGGAGTGGGGATGGGAGACGAAGGAGGCGGTCTTGAAGGAGGCGGTGCAAGGCACGTTGGAAGGGTTTAGGGGGGGAAAGGGGGTATTTGTTTTTAAAGATGAGTGACGGGTTGGAGATTAGATGGTAGTGACATAGTATAGTATAGATTTCCCTTCCCCCCGAGTAAGGCGGAGTATCCATTGTATAAGTACGGGGGAATATTTCTTTCTTTGATACCTCACGCTCTTGTTCCAAATACCGTCTATCCGTGTATTTGCACTAGTGAAGGGCAGGAGACTCAGCCTAGGGTTGTACACGGTTCATAGAACCCTTCACACGCTCTTCTCCCCCCCTCTCCCCCTCCGCTCCTTTCATTTTCTCTCTCCTACAATAATAAAAAGGGATCCGACGGATGGGAATGGCTGCCTGAGTAAGCCGGAAAGGGAAAAGGAAACGGATTCACGTTATAGGTGGATAAAGTAATACGGTTTTGAAGTGCTCGATGTGATAGGAGAGGAGGCAAGGAAAATGGCAGCAGGTGGTAGTTGCGGGTAGTAATAGTAAGAGGTTGAAGGTGAATTCAAAAAAAAAAAGAGAAAATGGCAACAACCCCTGTTAGCCATGGCGTAACGGGGGTTGAAAAACGTCCCAGACGCCCTCAACCGTCTTATGAAAAACCTCCCGCCTCCGCCCCTCCTGCCCCCTTGTCATGCCATGCAGCAAAAACATACAAACTGATACCCACGGGTTTGAAAATAACAAACCGAAAGAGAGACACCGTAAAATGAAAGGAAAAAAAAAAAAAAAGAAACCTCCTCCCGACCAGGAAGTAGAAAAGGGGAGAAAGATTGAGAAAAATAGTGGCCATCTCCAGCAGATAGCCGCGAGCACTTTTTTCGCCTGAAGAAAGGATGTACACACGTGAAGAATTTCCGCCGTCGGGTAGGCGTTTTGCGTGGCCAAAGATGGGGCGTTCAAATCTTGAGATCATCCCATCATTACCAGTCCCGGTTGTAGAAATTATTCTCCCACAGGTAATGTGGGGAGGGGAGGGGGGAGATCGAGGGGATGTTAAAGCTGTTACACTCAAAGAAAGCGGTACTGGAAGAAAAGGGAAAAAAAATATCTCCAGAATGAAATAAGCACGCTAGCCAATTTAGATCCCCTCCGTTTGCCTTCCGAGGCTTCGCTGTCGCTAGCCCCTGGTAGGCGTGAAACCAATGCCAGCCCCTTCTTGTACTACCGCTCCCATCCCAGTGCTCACAAATCCCACAGAGGCACCGAGCCGTCATTTGATTTTCCCGAAAACATCCTCGTCGCCAAACAGACTACCCGTCTCGGTTCTCACCTCTGGAAGCGTGGGAGGCGGTGGCCCCTTCTTCTCAGGAGGACTCCCATTCGCCACTGCCCCCTTACCCTCGACCAAAGAGGGCTCGGTTTTCCGCACGCGCATGAACCAGCTCTTCTTCCCGAGCGTCGAGGCCGACGATTTCGCACTCGGGGATTGTGGGCGGCTGATATCCGAAGAGCCAAAGGTCGGTGGGTGATTATTGTACGTGCTGTTCAGAGATTTCAAAGAGAGGAATCGCCGGATGGAGGAGGCACGGTCGCCATTGGTGGAAGTGGAGGTAGGTGAGGCCGGAGTCTCTGGGAGCCCATCTTGTTGCTGTTTTTGTTGCTGCGGGGTAGGAGGAGCAGACTTGGCGAGAGGCGTAACCTTGATGTCTGGTTTGGTTTCTGCAACCGGCGACTCTGGCGGTGGTGGTATGTTGGTACCGTCGGTGAGGGAGAAGTTGAGCGGTGCGAGGGTTGGAAGCTGAAATTTTCCGTTCATGCTCTTCTTCTCCGACGGCGTTGAGAAGGTTAGAGGCTTTGCGGAGTTGCTTGTCGCAGCCATGATGTGTTGATGTGTTGCGAGGCGGGTGGTCGGATATCGATAGTCGATAGTGAATTCCCCACAATTGGGTTAGGTTGGAGGTGAATGGACGCGCGAATCAAGAGTAAAGAAGAACTACGCGTCCGTGCTGGTCTTCTGTCCAC